CAAAGTAAATAAGTGTGAATCTCCCCATCTAGCATAAAATGTAAATCCACTCACAAATGGAAGATGTCTGTAATTCGTCTCTCAAGAGCATGTTTAACAGTGCTAGCTTCTCTAGGTAGGGAATATTTTCTAGTGATGAGATTTTCCTGGGCAATCTGGTCCTTGTTCAATATTAATTATGGTTTCTGCATCAGATTGTTTCCTTTGCTTCCTGTCCTCATTTGATTTTTGAAATCTGAATTACAATCTTTCTATGTATAGTCTGAATAAAACAAACAGGAGTGTACTATACAGATATAACAGAACTTGACTTTGTAGAAAACATCTGACATCATATGACATCAGTTTTAGCAATCATTGCATTAATTATGCTGTATCACAAGGTTAATTATTTGGAGTTCACATTTCAGAAAGCTACATTCTAATGAACAACTACAGCGGAGCACGTGTTTAGTAGATACTTTTGCTTCTGTTTCACTTAATTATTTCTAATAAAAATATAAATGGATTGTAAACTACATTTGTACAATATCTGAGAGAACAAGTTCTACAATATACTGCATATAGAGTGAGTTCTCAAAAGACATGTGATAAGAATTATATATGGGATTAGCCAATACGAATGAACAAGTTAAGATACACTTAAATTAACGTTTTGTTAAGAAGTTACAAACTGACATGTTCTATGGGGTGCAGTTCAGAGGAGGATATCCAGTCTGTTACTTTTGTATACAGTACTGTGTTTGGAAGAAATTCAAATATAGACATAAATTTATCATGATAAGACACAAAATGCAATGATAATACATTAGCTTATTGGGGAGTAAGGCACTTTGACCTGTTCCGTCAATGAGTCTAGTTAAGTAGAGACTTTACATTGGTTCATACATGTTGTATGAATTGCACAGCATTTGCACTAAGGCTAATGAGTTGATAGAATGAAAGGCACACACTGAATTGCTTGTATATGTGCCAAATAAATATCCCACAGTTTTAGCACTGAGGCCAGCCGCCACACTCATAAATAATGTAAATGAAATGCAATCCGGCAGAGTTTATTTTGGCCAAAGTCCAGTGCTTGTGCTTTTCTTCTCTGCATTAAAAATGGCACCTGTCAAAGGAGTTCCAGAAATAAGAACATGTAAAACCATGAGACGCAAATTTAATTAGAAGATATAAAAGTCCCTCTACATGGTCTTTTCCATAAAATGCCAAACAAGAAAATGAGAAAAAATAGTCAAGTGAATAAATCACATTCTCAATAATGTGCAAGCTGGTACTCTACTTACAGTATATGAAATTGACTATGTGTATGTTTAGTCTAAAAAGGTTAATTTCCTTACCACGCCAATAATAAGCTCATTCATTGAACAAAATTACCAGTATTAATTTATGTGGCTGCCACTTTTATCCAAAGCAATGTACATTGTGAGTTTATAATTTCCTGCATTTTTGAATAAAATAATTTTGTTTGCTTGTTTACACAACCGGAGCAATCGAGGTAAAGTATCTTGCTTGGGGAAAAAATTGTGTTTTGGTGAATGTTAAGATCTAGATAACTCAACGCTACCTGAGGAATAATTTGTCACGATTCACTCAGATGGGAGAAGCTAGTTAGGGACACAAAGCCCTGAGATGGTGTTTGTAGAACGTGGGAGTTAGTTCCTGGCAGGAGGGAAAGAACACAGACTCAGCAATTTTCTGGTTGTGTTGTCCTAATGAACAGCTCCAGATTTGTGTTCAGGGATATCACACTTGGCTATTCTTGGTCATTGACTACTGTACATTTAACAATCGACCAAGAAATAAAACATTAAAAAAACAGGGAAGATTCTATATTAATATGGAAATGGAAAACAAACAACACATTGAGTGTGACAATGACAGCATTATTTCTTCAGGAAATAGGGTGAGATTCTACAATAAAATTGAAGATGTGAAATGCTGTTTCAAATTCTCAAATAAAAAATGAGAGTGGGGTTGTTTTTTTGATGCACAGTAAAATGAATTATTATTATATTTCTGTCTAATCATCACTTAGAGATCTATTTCAAACAATGACATACTGTATGCAATATTTAATTCTCCTGAAACAAGTAATTTTATTAAATATGCACTTCATTCTAAATACCTCTGACTGGAGTTCACATACTTCGAATGGTTGATAAAAGGTTATTTTATAGGAGAAGAAGGACATAAAGACGTCACACTTTAGAAGGAAAGCTTAAGTGACATTCTTACACATTCATAACATAGAATAAGTCTGCATGGGTGTTAAGGGATTAAATCAGCCTAATGTTCCATCCCAAGACAGCCTGGAGATGGAGGCATCTGCTATACAATTTTTTTATGGGTAGTCACAAAATCTGCCATTGTCATGTCATCAAAAAACATTCCACACAGGACTCAAGACAACATAACAGCAAAAGCCAAAACCACTCATTGTAAGAACAAAACTGCAAATATTTCAAATCCATCCAAAGTAAAGGTAAACATATGTACACAATGTTATGGTTCATTAGGTATTGGAACTTAAATTGATATCTAAATGCATAGTATTGAATATACTAATGGTAAATAGATGGAAATAAAGATGTTTATAATATGTGTTAAAGTAGTACTGTGTTTCAGGCTTCAAAATTTGAAATATGAAACAAGACTTCTCTCCAACAGGCATCGGTCTTCTCCAGGTTAACTGAATTGCAACTGAATAGTTTTCGTAGTACAGGTCTGGCACTGAGATATAATATTAATAACCATTATTCCACTAATTTAGGTAGCCATTCCTCACTTCGATTCAGCATCAAGAGGTTTTAGGTCTTCAAGTGTCTGTCCCATGTCAGAACTCCAGTTTTCCTTTGTTGCTCACTGTTAACACTGTTTTCAGGTGCTATACATTAGAGTTCTGCTCATACCAATTCTGTTAGCCCTAACCCTTTACTTTGCAAGCTAACATTAAAGATGGTTTAAAGGGGTGCCTTCTCACTAGAGTGTAAATGTGCCCATGAAAATTACAGTAAGAGGTAACAAGCACCCAGCAGGAATCACAATAGAGCAGTGTAATACAGGAACAGACATTCATTTTCTAATGATGAATAATTTATCATTAAAGATTTTAATAATTCAATAAAATAACATGACAGGGAGGAGTAAAGCATTTGCCACTGACTACATGGCCTCCTGAGAAGCAGTACCAGTATAAAGAGCTCCACTTCTCTCCCAAGGTGTTCTCAGAATGACATTATGATTGGACCACTATTTTCTTTATTCATATTCAATGTCTAATAATGTTCAATTAAATTTCTAGACACGGGTGGAATGTCATCCTTCCTTTCCACTCTTTTGTGCAATAATGTTCCATGCACAATGCAAAGAATTCACAAGGACTTACTGTAAATAAAATATTTTAACTGGGCCTAAAGAAGTGAAAGATAAAACTGATCAATAATATAGTTTTTGAACATTTAAAAATTGAACATTTTAAAACTGAGAAAAACAGATGTCCTGTGCTTTTAGTCACCCTGTCAGACTTAGATTCTTGGATAGATTTCTTCTTAGATAAATGTCTGACTTTTATTTATAGGATATTAGATACAAAAGGCACGTTATTTAAGGACTCTCTTAGTCCAAAGCTCATTTTAACCTTAATGACATCACAACACTCTGACATAATAAACTGTTGATCAGACCAAGCAAATTGATTTTTGTCTGCTCTTGCATGCTGTTCTCTTACTAATCGTACAAGACTGATGATGGCACTGCAACAGATATTTAAATATGAGGAATCTAGGTGTTACTGGGTTCAATTTCATCTAGTGGAAATCCATCATTGCTGCAGGCTCTCTGTTGAGCCACAGGCTGAGTAGTCATGGAAACGGTGATATCTTTTCAAACACTTCTATATTGGCCATTCTGGGCAGTGTTGAGTTGCAGTGACAAAGGAGAAGACAATGGAAGGCCTGTGTCTAGAACACCTCTATGAAGATGAGTATTATTTCAGTATAGCACATTTCAAGAGTTCTCAAAGGATTCTTAACCAACACAGACCAGTTATTTTAATGGTACTGTATGCAGTGCATTGCCACAAGCTCATTTTAAATACAAGTTGGGATTGTAATTAGAGTATTATTTTAATAATGTTATTATTTGTGTTGCTTAGGAACTTAAAATACTCAGAAGTCAGGACCCCATTAAAAACTGCAAACTCTAGAATCAAATGTTCTAAACCTACTTATTGTCTACATCAACTTATTATCTCCATATTTTTGTTGTTGTGAACATATGAGGAGGAGATTTAAGTTGTTGCTTGTTTTTCTGCTTGAGAAGGTGCATGTGTTTGAGTGTTGGGGAAGGAGACATTTGCTGAACATTGTGGGAGACAACATGAGTTTCATAGACTGGATGCAACACTAATCTCTAAACTGTCAGATTGTAATCAAAACGTGTTAAATATTTAGCTTACAACTAAAAAGCACCTTTATTTACAACTCATTCCAAAATACCTTGAACCCATTGAGGCCTGTCAAGGCCACCCCACCACTTCAACTAATATGAAAACTCAACAAGTCGTTGAGATAATCAGATTGTGAAATTAAAATGGTAGCAATATTGTACAGGCTTGCTCATGACAAAAACTGGCAAACAAAATGTAACACCCATGATGAATACCAAATTTCTTGTTAAAGTTTAGGATATACATTTTACTAGCCAGTTTTATTTACTTAGGGTAACACCTCTGAAAGACATATGGTATGTTGTTTTTCGGTTCCACCACCTTACACACAGATCCATACACAAAACAAATGCATGCTAAAAATGAGCAAGTTTTTTCTTATTAACTGGCACAATTTTATATGGTTTGTGATGACTGGCTGTTACTAAAAATAACAACACAAAGTGAAACAACTGTCAGTTTCTGCAGCTATTTTTAGCAAACATTTCAATATCTTTCTCTTCTTTTACCTCTAATTATCGCCCACACAGCAAAACCCATCACTCACCTCGTTTGATGTGTTTCAGCTGCCTCTCGGCCTCATCTCGCTGTTCTGTGAGTCGCTTATACTGGTAACAAGAAGACAGATATCAGAGACGTGTGGTAACCAAGGCTTGATTGAATCATCAATGTGCAAAGGTCTTGAGGAGTTCACTTGCCTTCATAAATTAACTGGTATATGCTGCTGCCTATGTATTGGTCCAGGCTAGCAACAGGTTGTTGCTTGGAGCACTGAAATGTGTCATCTCATATTACAAGACACAGCCAATTCCAAAGTGTGAAAATAACATCTGAAAGCATATATTAGTGATTCACAAACACCAGTGCTCTTTGCAGGTCCAAATCCTTAAGATGTATGTATTCATTGTCACAGAAATGTTGCAAAGGTTGTTTTTTATTTTAATTTGCTGCAAGTGCAAAATGTGCCATTCCATCCCGGGCTTTTCTTTCAGATGCTAAAATCCATTTCTTGGTCTTGATCACACAAGCACACTTTATCCATCAGCCTCATTCAGCTGTGCAAAAGATTCTATGGTCGATCACACCACTGAATATTCTTTGGTATATAATAAAAGAAATTGAACTCACTTTTGGAAACGTTTAAAAAAACAAGTGCATTGCTATCCTTCATGGCTGCTCCCTAATATGCAAGTTAGGTTTTCAAAAGGTTTTCCAAGGCAATTCTGGGATGTCTTCTGCTGAAACAGATCATTTTCTTCATAAATGGCATTAAGGGGCATAATAATTTTAAATTAGTTTGGTACTATGTACAGCATGATAGCTACTATGAAATACAACAATGCACAATCTAGAACAATGCCCCAGAAAATGCAGTGTGCAGAGGTCAGGTATTTTATAGATACTTTATATGCATCTCTAGGTCATTAAATCCTGGATTCGGCCTAGTAATTAAGCTGTTTTTATCTTCTCTTTCCAATTACACAGTCTCATGTCTCAAAAGGATGTCAGTACAGATTTACAATGAAAGTTTAACAGAATTTTTAAGGAAAATCTTTACAACATGCTGTATATTTTTGTTTAATTCTTAGGAAGATATAATTCATTGAGTCATCCCCCACATCACCACATCACATCACTCACCATGGAAGTTCACAATAAAAAGCTGTCTAGTACTGGAATTAATGTATGTTATATATTTTCAACATGTGGGATGTATTTAGTGTACTATGGAGATCAATGGGTGGTACTCACAAAGCTTCCATGTTGTGAAAAGTGCTATTGACAGTGTTGTGTTAGCTCTCAGATGAGTACCAAACTCAAAGACAAACGAAGGCTCCACAGCCGAAATGTTGTGTTTCTTTTCTTCTCTTTTCAGCATGGAATAAACCTTTACTTGTTTGTGTTTACTTCTTCTATCAATACAGTCAGCTACTAATGCCAAGCTTAGGTAACATTACTTTTACCAATGATTTCTCTCACAGAAGTAGATAAATCTATTCTACATTTTATAATCATGCAGTGTATGCAAAGAAAGAAATCTAAAATGGACACAAAGCAATTCCACAAATTAACATTTAGAAAGGTTTAAAACCTTGCAAAACTGCAAGGCTACTCCTAATAAACAGCTACTAATACTACTATGTATCAATAGCTAAAATAAAATATTATTAGTACTCATTGCATACCTGTTTCTATGTGGTGGTAATAATAAAGAACAGTTACTGTATATGATACTGCTATTTATCTTTATGCACAAAAACAGTCAAGTTCCTGTTTTTTTACCATTTTGTCAGAAAGAAAGCTCCAACAACTCCTAAATTAATGAATCTTTAATATGCATTTCCAGATTCAAATACTAAAAGAATTTCAAAACAATAAAAGGACAAAATTAGGTGAGGAAATCTTCAGACTGCACATTAAATAAAAATAATGATGGAATCTTCTGGTTTCAGCAAGTTCGAGTATGTTCTTTGTGACATGTGCTCAAAGAGTTAAATGGAAAGAGAACAGGTTAGGAAAGACCTAATGCATTTTCTAGGGATGAAGAGGCTTGTAGCACAAACTAGGCCATTCCCTGCATCATGCTAAGCTAATCAGACATCTCCTGTACAAGCATAGATTCAGGCATAAAGTAGAATACAGTGTTCTTTCTTACTTGAACTAAGAACTAAGTGTAAATCACCTGGACTGCAAAGAATCCATTTGGACTGATTTTTTTTCAAATGAAATCAACAGCTAGCATCAACACCTTCTTTGGAAATCTTTTTCTCATTCTAAATATGTCAGACCTCAAACCTTAGAAAGTGTGATCATCTCATATATCAGGAAATTTAAGTAATACACTTAAACCACTGTATCCTGTGTTGTTCATTAAACCTTTAATCTTAATTACTTGTGTTAATTTTTTAGACAAACTCTCCAGTCAACTGCTTTTTTAGGTCTTTAATAGCTGCCAGTTGAAAAAGTACTTGTAAAGGCTGCAGAACTCTGACTTTCAAAGACTGGGATTGCCTATCCTTGTCATACAAATTGTTACACACTACAAATCACAAGCAGAAATGTTATAAAATAAAATATATAAATATACCAACGCTAAAAATAAAACCTTCAGTGATTAATATTTACACCTTTGTCCATTATATTTTGGAGCACGGTGATCAGTTACATTTTAATTACATTTGGAGGTGTCAAACTCTAAAATAGTTATACAAATTTAAATAAATCCTCTGTCCCAATTTATTGCCCTTTGGGATTCAAAAAAGAATGCTGTACATTTACAATTGTTATAAATCTGTTAACAAATTAAGGAATTCCAAGATGAGCACAGACTCAAACATAGCTGAAAGTTGAATGTTTTTCACACTGCTTTCTGTTTTTTTAAGAAACATTTCAAAATATAAAACCTTTATTTTTATTTATACCATATTGAAGTGTCCCTTCTTGCAGCTGAATTGACAGCACCCTGCAAAAGTATAATCAGTCATTGAGCTCAAATAGAAAGCAGTCCTTAGCTGACAGAAATTGCAAAATTACAAATGTTAAAATCTATCAAGTCATATAAAAACCCATCCTGAACAAGTGCTTTCTCAAAAATCTCTCTTTTCACAGCTAAAAAGAGAAGCTAAATAATTGTCTGGCATCTTTTTTAACAGCCATCAGCTGGCCCTATTTACAGATAGCTTTTCCGAAGCTAGAAAAAGTGGAATAGGGATTCTGGCCCACTTTTGTATTTAAATCACACTTTTGTGTGTAAACCAATTTAAGTTTTTGACTAGCACTTTTGTCAAAAGATTGTATCAGTTCATGTATCATGTTCAGTTCTTCACACTTGTACCATGTGTTTAGCAGTAAACTGCCTAAGTATAAACAGATATTTAAACAATAAATCAGTAAGTTTTTTAGTAGATTTTTGGCACTGGCATTTTCATAAAAGATAATAAGCTACATTGTTGACAGTATTGGGACTACAATAGACACAGAGTTTACAGTCAATTAAATTCATTAAGACACACAGTCTTTCAAAAGTCAATGAGATTGAGGTTTGCAGTCTTAAGCTTGGCATAATTAAGTTTAAGTGAATTTATTAGTTAAGATACAGGGACAAAGGTAATTTCCTGCATTAGTGAAATTAAAAGTTGTCCCAAGTGTACCTGAAAATGCACTGATCCATGTTCTATAAATACATACACATGGAGCATGTGACTTTGCTCAATTTTCTTATTTATATTGTACTGTATGCTGAAATGCCATTAATTGCTGCAATTGTATCCCTTAAGCAGATGTGGTGCAAAATCTGTGTGAATATCATATGATATTAATATGTAGTGACCAGCATACAAATTCTGCATGAAATACTAAATGTGATGCGTAGACACATAGATATGACATCTGCTGTGAAGATAAGATTCTAGTACAGTCACCGGCACGGCAGGGAGCTAGACAAGTCTTATACAAAGCTGTCCAGCAGCAAAATCCCAATTAAATAAATATGCACAAGCGATTCCTGTATTTTACAAACTGTACAATGCCCTGAGCAGAAAACTGCCAAAAGACAGAGAAAAAGAAATGGAGAAGGGTGTCTCACTACTCCCTATTTGTTAGGTCACCGAAAAAGCAAGTCAAAGACTGCCTCAGTTTTCAGGCACCACCTAAAATTATTTCCCCGACAATACGATACAAATGCATTCCATGGAACACATATAATAATTTGATTATACGTGTAACAGATTTAAAATGTATGTACTCTGTTATAATAACGTATAATAAAATAATACTCCTTCTTTGTCATACCTCACCTAAAACCAATTCTACACTATATATGGCAGGTGTATAAAACGTAATAGCAATGCTGGATATTTAAACATCACTTGGCACAAAGAGGGAGTTCATAACCACGAACTTATTTTTTTAAGCAGCGTTTCTTACCTCCTTTTTTACTTTCTGTGCTTCTATTTCTTCATCGCCTTCGGTTTCCTTCACCGGCATCGGTGAAGATGGACAAGGCAGCATCGTTTACCCAAATCGAACAGGAAAAAAAACCCACGCTACAGAACAGACACGCAGAGGGCTAAGAAAAAAAAAGGAATTTATGTACGAAAATCAGTTTTTATATATTGATATATGCGTACAATCGTCCACGGGGGAAAAATTGACCCCTTTTTTTTTTTGCTAATGCCAGGGTGTTTAGTAGGCATGCGCCCTGCATCTGCGGTACCCAGCCGGTGTCTCAGACAGGCTCCGCACGGCTTTTCCTCCCTCTTGCCGTCGGCGCTCTACTCCAAGAGCCTTTTCGAAATGTCTCACTTGGCTGTCATGCTTACTGGGGCTCCACCCCTCACTGAACATGCAGAACGAAAACGTACAATGCCCAGCCCGAGCCTGTGGGGCACCTGAGGTTTGCCGCATGGCGCGACTGAGCCTACCACCTGCGTCTGACTAAAATAACTGATCTCTTTAAAAACTGAGACAATATCAGGCTATGTGTGGCACCACAGCTGTAAACCATTCAGATTCTGCACATGGGGGGAAAAAAACCACTGTTTTAATGTATGCATCTTAATCTTTTGCCAGTTATTTTGAAAGGAGCAACAAAATTAGGAGATGTTCTTTGTCTTTTTTTTTCTTAAAAGTAATGTCAGTGATGTTTCCTGCTAGATCATTTCAGGTTCACTAGAATTATTAATCATCGATTCTGCTGGTTTTAGTTTGCATGCTTAGATTTCAAGACTCCAGGGTGGGGACAGGACTCTGCACCATCACCGGTCAATGACAAGGCGCTGTTAGCAACCTCGTCTCACAGCTCTTGGCTCCAGGGTTCACATCCGGACGGGGGCGCCCTATGCGCAGTATGTTATCCACGTATAAGAAAGTATTTTAATCCGGGTTCTCTGGTTTCCCTTCACAGTCAAAATGCATGCTGTCTAGTTCGATCTGCATCTCTCAATTGTCCATCATATGTGAAGGAAACTATTGTAGCGCCCTCCCCTGGCGTTGCGGCCGAAGAGCGCCCGGCTGGCGTGCACGGCGAGGGGCAGGAAGGGAGTGGTGGTGGCCAGGGCGGGGACTAGGAGAACCGCTGGCCAGTGCAGCTGACCCGTTGCGGTACCGGTGTAGCCAGATCGCTCGGACTCGTGTAAACAGTTCCTGGTTTGGCACCCCTTTTATGTACCACCAGTGTAACTGTACCCGAATTGACACCAGTCTGTTGTATCGCATCAGCTTCTTTCTCTCTCTCCTCTTCTGGTGGCTGCTGTGCCACATGGCGATTAATTAAGCGCCGTGTTCTCAGTTGAGAAGAGCCTGAGTCACGGTCTCTCTCCTCGCCGAACCCGTCGCGTTACAATATAATGGTCCCATACAGGGTGTAACTGCAAATTGCGGGATTACACGCAACGCAGCCCTACTTTATGTTTGGATTTTGCACTTGTTTAAAACGGACAAATAAACCAAAGTTAGAAAAGGCTAATTTAGCTTGACTGGTTTCTTTACTGGGTTTTTCTCGTAGTACACATTATCCAAATACTACGGTAGAGTGCGGTGATGAATTGTGTCAATGTGATACGGAAATGAACTCAGTAAATGAAGTGCTACTGCTGTTGTCCGGGGACTGTGATCCATTCATCCATCCTCTCCTCAATAGGGTCTCATCATAAAATGTTAGCTTTTTTATTGTTCGTAATTCGTGCAACCATTGGGCTTTATCCCACACCTTTAGGGAGTGAAAATGATGTATAGACGACATTTGTAAAAGGTGTGTAGTGTTGTTGCAGCACAGTTTTGCAGAAATCACCATGGTAAAATAATAAGTGTTATTTTAAAATTGCACTTAACACAAAATGTTTAAATGACATCTTCTAGATTACTTTTAGCTGTTTCATGTGCCAGCAGCCATATCACCCTGCAACTCCTAATAATCCCCAATCTATGAATTGGCTTCATTTCTCTGCTCTCCTCCCCACTGAGTGATAGCTGATGTCACAAATATCACATGCCCTAATCAGAAGAGTTGCGGGTGGAGTCTCAAAAACCGAACACTCGCAAACAATTGCTTGCTCTTACCAAGAGGCTTTAACGAGCACGTCTTGATACTTCCTAGCGGTGTGCTTTTTTAAAAATCTGAAGAAGTGATCAGTTTCTCACTGTCTCCTTA